TTTATGAGGAGATCTTTAATGCTTCATTACTGAAGTAATCTGATTTATTCCACATAAGGGAAAATACATATTCTTCTGGAAATTTGTAGTGAATTTCAGGGCAAAGTCACTTCCAACAAAACTGATTTAGCAATACCCACAGGTGATGGTATGAACTCTATCAAAGTCAAGGAAATTACCTTTCAAACTCTTGGCAAGAATTTCATTCAGGATACTCTGAAAGCTTCAGAGCACTGAGTGTACTGAGTTGACTGCTAAAGGAGACACTCGGTAATTAACAGTTGGATCTCAAAAATTAAGAAGTCACAGATCTTCAAGTCAAAACATGAAGTTCAGTCTTTTGGGGGATTAATCCCAGGGTCACTCACTACTAAGTGCAGTGTTTGTCGCATGTAACTAAGTCACTGAAAGATCATCAAATTAATGCAAAACCACAAGGAAATAATTTTCTTTTTTGTAAACTTGTATTTAAACATATTTTTAAGTAGAGTAAACACCACAGAAAATTAATTTAAGGGCTTTTAACCAAGAAAACCCCAAGTTTTGATAACAAAGGTTGGGGGGTTGGGGGGGGGGGTGTTTTGCTTTTAACTTCAGTGGTTGCAGCTTGAAGATTACATGCATATAACTTAAAAGTTAAACTAACAAAAAAGGTGATGATAATTTTTGTATCTTTTCCCTCACATGCCATTAGACTTTCTTTTATGACTGTTGGCTCTCCAGATCAAACTTCATATCTTTCAAAGGGAAAATAATTTTGACCGTTTCTAAAAAGATGATCTATCCCATAGAGTAAAATCCACTTTCCATAAGGACAGGCATTTATTTCACATACATATATGAAGCGATTTTAGTATTATAGAAATACTCATTTATCTATCTATACAGCTATTTAATTTTGTTACAAGCAGGTTTATGAGTTTGGGACGGAACCACCTTATAGGAAAGGACATCTGTATGAAAGCATTGTGGACACCTTGTGGTCATGAAAGTATGCTCCACAAATATGGCATTTCTGAAACATCTGAAAACCCCACCACATCACAGCAGAGAAACTTCTCCTACCCTCAAGCTCCTCATATTACAAAATTAATAAGCTTTTCTAGGCAAACCTTGTGAAGTTCTCAGTAGGCTGTGCTCATTCTTGCGGACTCTCAGAAAACAAAAACAGTGTCTGGAAAAAGTAGTCTTGATATATATTTCTAACTACCAATTTTTAGGTTCAGGCCAATTGAAACATTTATATGGATGATAAATACATTTTTAAAAAACATGAACATGCCTTTTGTCACACTATGCAATACATTTTTTTTTAAATATCACTTATTAAAAAAATAAGTGCATTGACTTTTTTTTATGCTCAGAGATAGAAAGAGCACAAAGCATTAAGACAATTAAGCAAAATGATGGATTTGAACACATGCTGCATTTTACTGTTAACATGTATGCGTAACTTCCATTAACGTCAGTATGAGTTATGTGTGCACTGCTAAAATAATATGACCATAACAAAAACATTTCCTCCAGAACTAATATAGTAATATTTTTAATAGACATTGGGGGGGGGGGGAATCACATTTTTAGAAAGAAACATGTAAATGCAAATCCTTC